CTTTATGGGGTTTACCTATAGTCTCCATTGTAGTTCCTTTTTTTGGTTTAACCAATTATATATTAGTGATCCTATAAGGTAGCCCCAACAAGGAACCACAATGGAGACCATAGGTAGGGTTTATACCCTCAATATAGCTATTATATACCCATTATATTGTCCATTATAGGGTAGGGTCCCCGTTAAGGGTCCCTTCTTTTCCCCTTTGGGTTTGGGGTCTCGAGTCCCCAATCCGGAAGGCCCTGCGGGAGCTGTTTGCCAGCAACGTGACCCTCGCCTCCTACAACCTCGGAGGCGTTGTGTTCGTTTACTTACCTTGGGTTAGTAGGGAATGGAAGAATGGTAGTTATAGTAGTTATAATTGCACCCCATTCCTCCATTCCCTACTAACCAATGGTAAGTTTAGAGACCCCACAAAAGCACATAAGCTTAAGCATTTTATCGGGATAACCCTACCTTATTGGCCTTCCTTTTAAGGGGGTTTATATGGGATATCGCTGCCCTCATGTTTTGCGTATGTGCTTTTTTGGGGCCCTATTCGTAGCTGTTTGTTCGACTCTAGGCTTTACGGCTTTTGTGGCGGAAGGAATATAGGGGCCTAAATAATTTCAAACGCTATTTTGGGGGGGCTCCTTATTCTAACTATAGTAGTATAATGCCCCGAAACCCTATTCCAAATACTATTATTATTCTCAGGAGTAAATTTACGATTTACGGTGTGCTCTTTATCCCGGTTTTTGGCGATGTTCAGGAGTATTGCTCTTCCTGCTGTGGCCTACCTGCACCGTTTCCAGGTTTTGGGATCCCTTGCTAGGCACCAGTTGGGAGGATCCATTGTTCTTTCCCTAAGGGTCCATGTACCCAAATAGTATGTACTGTGGGCCCAATGTACCTACATAGGGAGTACTTTAAGGCCAAAGTACGTACTATTTGGGTACATGGACCCTTAGGGTTTTACTAGTTCTGTATAATGCAGTATACCCTTACCGGTATCTAACGGCCACATTGCAGAACAGTCGAAAAGCCTTGCGTGACTGGTTACCAGGAGCGATTTTTCTAAACGCCCCTCCTGAATCTTTCAGATTTGATGTGTCTTTGTGGGTGCATCGCTGCATGGTGTTCAGGATCGAAATTTCATCATCCTCATCACCATCACCATCGCCATCATCATTGTCGTTATCATCATCATCATCATCACCAAGTTCATGATCATCATCACCATCCTCATCGTGCTCGTCGAGGTCGTGGTCGCCCTGCTCATCATCAGGTACCACCGTCGTCATGATCATGGTGGAGTTCATCAGCACCAGCATCATCATAGCGGCATCTGCCTGACCATCCCCAAAGGGTCCAATGTACCGATATAGTGAATGTAGGGATTACTATTATGATTTTGGGAAGTATCCCCCATAACAGTATATAGGACCCTTTGGGATCATTTATTGCATGTGTACATTCGTCAGGGGGGCCGAGTCAACGTGTTTTGTTATTGCCAGCGCCATCTGGATGCCATCAGCATTGATGTATGCGTCATACCCAACACTTTGGTCATCACCTGCAACAGACGCAAGAATTGAAGGCATATTAGCATCAACTTCAATGGTTTCGCAACATAACGAACAAGACTTGTTACCTCGTGTTTATGCCCACACCAATGCTTGCTTTCATGACAACTGCCATCAGTCAAGAACACCATTCCCTGCTGATCTTCGTCACAGCCAGCCACCAACAGCAATGCTACTGCTGCACAGGCGAATGTGTTAAGACCAGTTGCAGGCTCTTGCCGACTACAGATTCGTATGTCAAAACTATGTTTTACTGGTCTGCCGTGTTTTGGCGGTTGCCTTGGTGCAGCGGCATGAGTATAACAAATGTAGAACAGGAGTGGTGTCGATGAATACTGTTGTCATTGATGGTGATGGCCGTCCTACGTAATCGGTACCCGCCTCGCTCGCAACAGTACCGAGGCGGAGTATCAAACTGACAAATAACCATTTGTAGGTGGTTCGGCAGTAGTAGCAGTCGCCGTCTCAGCAGCAGCAGCAGCAGGAGGAGGCGGAGGAGGAGGAGGAGGAGTAGTGCGAGTAGGAGTAGGAGTAGGAGTAGGGGTAGGAGTAGGAGTAGGAGTAGGAGTAGGAGCAGGAGTAGGAGTAGGAGTAGAAGCAGTAGTAGTGAGTAGTCGTATTTGAGCTCACGGCCTGTGGTAGGCAATCACATCGGCGACGAGGGCGCATCCAAGCTTGTGCACACCCTGCCGCTCGCCAGCACGACATTTACGCCTTGCATCTCTGCGATCTACAGTTGAAACGGGGCGGATGGAAAAAGATGCATAACAACACAAAAACATAAACCTTAAGGCCTCACAGCAACCTTGAAAGTAAAACCCTATAGATCCTAAGCTCTGTACCTGTATAGAACCTGGAGCCTGAACCCCGCACCTCCTTAAGCACTTTGCCCTAAACCAAAAACCTTTTAAAGAACCCTGAAACCCAAACCCCACCCTAAACTCCCTAAACCTTCGAAGCCCTAAGCCCTGTATAGAACTCGATTCCCTAAACCTCCATGATAGTACCCCTATAGATCCCCTATAGCAACCCTTATATAGACCCCTTTGAAGGGCCCATTGAAGGGACCCTATAAATATTCTAATTCTCAAGGCCACTATATTAATTTTTCAGAAGTTACGCAAGAAACCTTTGAAGCCCCAGACCCTATACCCAAACCCTAAAGCCTAAACCCCAAAGCTGTCGGGCAGAACTCGATTCCCTAAACAACAGAAGTTCCGCAAGAAATCGAGGATGAGCCCTGGCTACAGCCACGTGAAGGAGGCGCGGCAGTCGCCCTACAGTTCTCTTACAATGTAGTTCAAGTTTAGGGCTTAGTACGTGAAGATAAGCAATCTTTCAATGAAGTGGATAGACAAATGCTCTATGTCAGGGCCGAATCACAAGAATTAAACCCCACAACTATGGTTTTGGTTTTAGGACCAGTGATTAGACCCCTGAACACGGACGGCCTCCACCAGTTTTTTCGAGCAAAAGACAGCCTGCATGTCCACAGAGGTTCTCGTGTCTTCCTGTGCGCAGGGCTCGCTGATCAGACTCACGCACTCCCCCTTCACATACCCCTGCACAGGGTATGTGAACAAGAGATTAAACGGAAAATTCAAGAGTCCTTCAAACACTCATCAGCAAGCGCCATCTGTTGACACTGACTCTGATCTACAGGTAGAGACAAAAACCAGACAGAAGTCACATTCCGAGCGCTCTTCTATGCTAGAGCTATCTCCTTCAGAGATAATGAATGTCTGACCGCTGGCATCTCGAACGTTTACAGAGCAATCTGAGATCAACAACGGGTTGAATCAGCCTAACTTAGCAGGACCTGACTATAAAAGCCCAATATGAGATTGGCAACCCTTCCGATCCTCAGATCAGCCCATGTTTCGAAGGAAGCTTACAGTCCTCCGACAAGGCTCAAGACTGTCTTCTAAGACTGACGGTGGACAGCCACCCACCGAGAATGATGATCCACGCAAGCAATGCAGCACACCATGCTGCCAACCGCAATCCTCTAAGACCTAGCACCTCAACCGCAGGAACTTCCGCTTCTGTTCCAGACTCCTTTGGATGTGGATCCCAAGCTATCTCGGTACAATCAGCACCCTGAAATGCCGACCAATCCCCAGAATTAAGACCCTGAACAACCTCGGAAATCTCTTGAAGACTCCAACCCGGTAGTGGGACCCGGCCTACATCATCCCCGTAATAAACCACAAAGCCCCCTTCTTCGGCTTCGTATCTTATAGGCTAAGTTGAAGATACAACAGCATGAGATTCGCTCGAGACCTCCGGTGATTCATCAAAGAGCCCTTCACGAGGACTCAAAACACTGCTGACACTACTATAGGTCACGATAGAAGGCTCTGTGGTCGACGCAAGTTCAACCTCTTCGTTCGACGACGCTTCATCCGACGATGTATCTTCAAACACAACCGCAAGAGGAATTCTCTCTAACACCGGAACATACGGTTGCCTATGAGGAAAATCATCTAGTGACGGGTCATCTTCGGCATCCTGAGCTGCAATGGTAACATAAGGAAACGCCTCAGTTCCATGCATGATCACTCCCGCCGCAGATGGCGTGGGGTCAGAACTTCCGCTACTTCCACCTTCCTGAACGTTTGGCATAGGAGCCAGCACACTGCCCTGCTCACAACTTCCCGGGTCGTCAACAATCTCACTAGACCCTCGGATCCCAAGAATAAACTCCTGCACTAAAGCGAACCACTGAGGACCCTCATAAGCTAGACTATTAGACCCCGATCTTAGAACATCAGCAGTGGCACACACAATGCCTACCCGTAGATGCGCAGAAGCTCTCAGCAGGTTCACACACTCCGGTCCCCAGTGACCAAGAAAGCCAAGCAGGGTCTCAGATTGAGTATTCAGAAGGATTACCAAGAAATGCCTAGGACAAAAACCCCCTACTATCGGGAAAACCGGCTCGGCTAACCCCTCAAACAAATCCTCATAACAACCTATCGAATCCTCAAGCTGCGCATTTACCAACCCATCAGAGCCGCTGCTCCCTCCGTCAAGATTCGGCTGCGCTCCGGACGGTAATTCACTGCCGCTGCTCAAAGAAACAGTTTGCGCATCAGGCCTAACCCTGGAGCTGCTGCTCAACTCATGCTGAGATGACTGCGCAATCACAAGGTCGCCACTGCCGCAATCACCAATTGGACGTACAGAAACAGGAACCCACTGATGCCTATCCCCTACCAGAACAAACCTAAACGTAGCTTCCCCTTGAATCCCATTGTTACAGCTAAGCGTAGCCCCAGTGTCACTCAGCCAGTTCATTATGGCCAGAACCGCATGTATTCTAAAACCCCTAGCAGTACCTCGAAGACACTCCCACGAAGCAACCTGGTGCCCCAGGCACGCTAGTAGCACATCACCCTGAAGCTCAAACAGAATCCAAAGGTAATGTGTTCCTTATGCCTGGCTCGGTCCCAACATAAGGAAAACCAAGTCCTTGACTGAGTCCAAATTCAGCATCTCCAATTTCGATCGGATTTTGCGGAGGATTCTCAATCCCAACACCTGGAACTCCTGGGTTCAAAGGTTCATTACTAGAGCTGCTCCCCCCAACCTGAAAGTTCGACCCGGAAGGAACATCACCCGATTCATCATCCTCAATTCCAGAAAACCACGGTGGGAGAGGGCCATACCGTTGCTGCATGCTAGGGACATCAATAACATCACCTTGCATCAATTGCTTCCTTAACCGAACCCGCTGAATGAAAGTTAAACCAGTATACCTTTCCTTAGCCCTCATCTCCTCTTCAGCTCTACGGACCCGCTCCTCATCCTCAGATTCCTCCTCCTCACCAGAGGACGACGGACCATTCCAGGCGCAACCAGCATTATCTGGGATGCCCTGAACAGAATTATCAGTTGTTGACAGATTCGGAACCTGGGTTTCGGACTCAGGCGGTTCGACGAAAGCATGAAGAATCTCGGTATTTACCGGCGATCCATCAGGGCATCTGTAACACCAACTTAGGTACCATAAGCCACCTATAATTATGCACAACCCTACCACTACCCAACTAAACCACCACTGGCCAAACGCCCATATCTCCTGAGCAACCCTGAAAGGTTGCCCCAACACGCCAACCGAGCCCAAACCTGCTCCAACAATCACCGCCCTGCCAGTCACAGATAAGGAGTGCCCTTCAACAGGAGGCAAAACAGCCAAAATCGCAAGCCCAGCAAGCAACTCTGGTGAAATCCTCTCAATCAAATCCGCACCCACAGACAAGCGACTTACAACTCTGGCAGAATTGTCAAGGATCTCGGCTCTCGAAGGTCTGATGGATAACATATTCAGAAGTTCTAGGATTCTCGGCCTTGCAAGTGGTTTCGTGGCTAAGTCGGCCAGCTGCATTTGTCCTGGAACATACGAGACGACTAACGAACCCGCGTCGATTTTTTCGCGCCCCGAGGCGGCGCGCATCCTCAGGTGGCGGTTTCTCCAGCCGAGGCTTCCAACAGCAAAGGACCGGACGGTCGCTTGGTTGTCGCATAAAGTTGAGATTACCACGTCGCTGGAGATTAACTCCTCTATGATAGCGCCAACGGACTCGGCAGCAACAATGCCACTGGTAACCGCAACCAGCTCGCACTCCGCGGACGACAATGTTATGAAGGGTTGCTTGCTGGACTCCCAACACAGCAGCGTGCCACACCAAAGGATAAAGATCGCTTGACAGGATCGTCCACCTTCCGGCGCGTGCGAAGCGTCAGTGAACAACTCAAGAGTATTAAGCTTACGGGGTACAGGCGAGACGAGCCACCAACTTCCGCTAGGTCGTCTGTATTCTATCGCAAAGTCAGCAGTTCCATACAAGTAGTGTAAAACTTGGCGACCTGTCTTGATCACGACGCTTGGCGATTTCACCGCGTACTGGCCAAGCTTACTGACAACAAAAGCTATATCGGGTCGAGTTTTCGAAGACGCCCACAATAGCGCACCAGTCAGTGCCTGCGCTTCCCTGATGGTTTCAAGCTTCGCATCATGTTCAATTTCAGGTTCACTCCAAGCATTCAAAGGCGACGATACGGAACTGTGGATATTGTACCTCGCAAACAGCTCGTTCAAGTACTTATACTGCGAGATGCGGTAACCACCGCCACTCAAAGCTTGAATTTCCAGACCACAAAAGGTTGTCGAAGATGCCTCACCAATCCACTCGGGATCAGACAACTTCCACATCTTCTGTATCTCATCAAATAGGGCGCTGAGGATCGGCGACAAAGCAAAACCCAGGAGATCATCGACGTAAATTATCAAGATTCCATGCCATCTCTCGGTATCTTCCTTGTCGGTCTCGCACTTGACGATAAACCAAAGCGAATCATCACTTACCCCCTGCTGCAATGCGTACCACGTACCATCACACTGAAAGGTCAACGCTCGCAAAGACTTATCCCTGAACCTAGCCCATGCTAAAGGAGCCTGCCTCAAACCATAAAGTGCCTTGAGTACCCGCCATCTATGATTGTGAGAAAGAATATTCATTTCAACAAGGATGTACGGAGGCCTGACAATAATAACCTCATCAGACTCCAATTCTCCCGTCAACGGCGCATGAAGGAAAGCTGTCCGTATGTCAGCGCTCAAAGCTGCCCATCCATTGTAGGCGGCAAAACATAACGCCGTCCTAACAGTCAAGCCCTCGACTCCACTCGCGTAAAGATTATTAGAATCCGGAGATCCAGTAGGGATGTAATTCCCACAAGCCACACACCTGAATCGACGTTTCCCAATTCCAGCCTTCCTTGTCAGGACAGCCTTCCCAGGAACTTGCACCACTCGTTTTCCTTCCTTTATCAACTCCTCAATGTCTGCAATAACAATGCGAAGGACTGCTTGGTTCGTCTGCTCCAATGAAGTAACTTCCTCAAGGGCTGAAGGAATCCACAAGGCCAGCTCTTTCCTCGCCTCGGCAATGCTAACGGTACGCGTCTGTAAAAAGACCTCCGCGGCGCAAGCCGGCTCGTCCGAGCCTAATGGAACATCCCTGCAAAGAGACTTCACAATGCTGGAACCACCAACTAGATATTCCTCCCAGAGAAGACCCTCATACCAATCCCTCTCATTCTCGGCAATAGCTAGCTGTCCTACCAGCACCCCTACATCGGTACAGACCCCATGTGCAGTACTGAGCTCCTGCGCTAGAGCACGACACAGCCGCGCCGAAGACTCATGAAGAGACACCGCATTATCAAGCCAATTCTCACCAAGTACCTCGCGGGGACAGTCTATCTCCCACAAGACTTCGGTATCAAGCTCATCCGCACCGTCATCCGACAATTGAGAACCTTCATTATCACCAATAGATTCTTGCCCAATCTCGAGGCCACCCCCTTCGGTGAAGATCACCCGATGACATACAGGTCCGTTACCAGAGCTAGACCCCAGACCCTCAACCGGAAATCCTAAGTCCCTTAGCTCCTTCCCATACTCATCAAGGCAATCCCAAACCCCAATGGGCACATACGCGGCTATGACCCATCGATCCTTTCCACACCAGGGCTCGGCAGAATGCCATTTCAACCCATCAAACTTATAAGGCTTACTGTGAATGTCTTGGATACAGCCAGCTCTGGTCTCACCTGATGGCAAGACCCGAACAACAGGACCTTGATTCCCATCGCCTTCTACCCAAAGACCTCCACCCTTAAAGTCGCCAAGGGCAATTACCCATACTGGGACCGATCGTTCATTCCGGGCATCTCGATGTAACGGTGCTGCTGCATTGTACGACACGTAAAGGGTGGTATACGGGGAATCCAAACCCTGTCCCTGAACAAACCTATTCAGAAACCGCACCAGGTTTACGTTGTCTTTTGCAAACCTTGATATGCCCTTAAAACCCCCTTGACTATACAGTCCAGCAATCGCACAACGCCCACACTTGCCCATCATCTTTCGGCTCGGCCGTGGAACACTATCGACTACCGCCCTCAGTACATCTAAAGCTTCAGTGACCCCAACAGGATTCAAAGAATAGGCATCATCGTCATTAGGCACCCGCACCTTATCTAAGGCCTTAACCCCAACTTCGGTGTCTACTAAGTCCCCACAATCCGACTCAGCCCCAAACTCAAGTGCTTCGGATTCGGATCCAGACGAGTCTACAGGTATGCTCCAGACAACAGACGCATTTCCAGTTCCCTCAGAATTTTCAAAATACCCTGGAATTATCCCGATAGGACACTTCCCCCCAGGTGACAACCTGGACCGTCTCGAGCGGCCTATGGGCCAATGTTGCACTGCCGCAACCGTTCGAACAGCAAAAACCGGGGGACCTTTTTCTTTAAGGCGAAACTTTGGCTTTGGGGGAGGAGAAACAGACTCTACAATGGGGTACACAGCATTTGTCAAGTGCACCTTACGATCTCCCTTCTTATCACGGGTCATAACAAGATGACCGCCAGCGCAATCCGGAGCGACACCAACATAAGTAGCTTCAAAAGTCCGCGGCTCCCAATGTTTCTTATGGCCCGTCTTAAGCCTCTTCCTTGCATGTAGCTTCGTACCAAACGGTATCAGACCAGGCTGCGGTAAATGAAGCTGCTCACAGAGTTGCACAAAGTTACGGCGCGACGCATGCATGACAGCCAGTGGCCAACACCCTGCAGGAAGATCCGCGGCCCTCAAAAGTTTGCGAGCATCTTGCTTCAAATGCTGAACAGCTACCTCGGCCTTATTACCCGCTGGATCTTCCCCAGAAGTTGACTCTGGGTGGATCCCTCGATGTCGAAGCCAGCCGATAAGTGCATGGCTCCGAAGCTCCTTGGCTCTGTCTGAGAAGTACTTGTGGATCGGAAATCCCGCCGTCTCTAGACGGTTAACCAAAGCCTGAACCTGAGCCATAACCTCAGCGCCTCGCTTGGACCGCAATGGTACACCCAGAAAAAGCGTCCTAGTCTTGACCTTCTCACCCAGGCCATCGGAGTCCTTAGGAGGAGCTTGATTACCAGACCCCACAGGAGGCTCGGCAAACGAAGTACTCGGATCAAGAGGCTCAACGGCCGGAAACACTTTATCCCGAACCCGTCTAAACAGAGCCTTTACACTCAACCCACTTCCGGCCTGTTGACCGAGCCCATCCAGCGCTACCTCGATCCCTTCTGGATTTTCCTTTAAATCCGGAACAGACAACTCAGCTCTGACCTCATCTTCCAACTCCGAAGGACAATACTCATCTAGCTCCCCCTCAATCGCACCCTTATCCCTAGACAGAAACTCGGGCCTAAGTTTGACAGGCTCAACCGGTACCGAATAAGCCGCCGCCAAGAAGTACCGATAGCCCTTACCCTTGTCCCTGCCACTAGCAACCGGATCAAACCCTAGGCCATCCTTAAAGGGACCAGCGATATCACACGACAGGGAATACACGCTAGTAACCGACGACCGCCAATGACTCCTCTGCCTGCCTTGCGCTTGGATACATACGGGGCAACCTTTACGAAAGGGTATGTGATCACTTCTGATGTGACGCTTCATCAACTCCTCCTCAGAAAGTTTAGAGAGAAGGACCCTCCTAGCAGTAACCTCATCAGTATGACCCCTTTCGTGATTCCACTGGCTCCAGCACCTAAGCACCTTAAAGACAAGCTCAGGAGCCCATTCCCCGAAAATTGTCCAACCTTTAAACCCTTCAGGTCCACCTAAAACCTCCAAACCTTCCAAACTTTCGAACAGGTACCACGAGGTCGCAAGCAAACCCTCCGACACCGTAAGATCCTGAGACCTACTCCGGTACCGAACACCATACCAATCATAAACTTCCTTCCACACTTCAGCCCCTTTGAATCCCACGCTTCCCGGTTTACACCCGGCTGGTTTCTCCAACCGACATGGAGGCTCAATAACCAAAAAGACCGAAGGACCCTTAGTAAAAGTTCCCTCACTGCCTCGCCCTGTCTGTCGCAGCCTAAGTTTCACCGCAGCCCTATCCAAAGCCCATCGAACTAAAGCATCGGGATCTACAAGATCAGATGGCGGGGTATCCTCCTCATCATCGTCAAACCCAACAGGCTTCGTTTGATCAGCCTCATCACCACCCTGAGCCTTCGCATCCGAAGCAGCTTGAGCAACCGCATACACCACCAGTTGCCTAAGCCATCCTACATCAGCAAGCGACAAAGCCTGAGAAGTTTCTGACCCACTCGAGGCGGTGAGACGATCCCACGACTGTCCTGCCGCACTACTTATCACACCCCCAATCACCCCCGAGGAAGCCCAGTCAAGCACTAAGCTGAACACCGGCTCGCACATAATGTCAGAACCAAATCTCCTATCAAGATCAACAACCCTTCCCGGTCCTTTCCACTTAGAACCCGAGGATGAGAAGCGCAACAACACACCCCCGGCATGCTCTCGCTGCACAGATCTTCTGAACCGATGGTTCCAAGGATGTCTGGTCTGGCCGGAATTATGCCCTTCATTCGGCAATGACTGAACTACACTGAGGTCGGAGATTTCCGGAAACATGACACGAAGGAACACCTGCAAGTCACTCCGACTAAGTGAACCCTGACTCCTCAACCTCTCACACATCCAGACCCGGATATTGCCAGGACCAACGTCTCGAGGCACAGGAGAAATCTTAGAGCATCTAATCTCCTCCGACCTGGCCCTTCTCTCCTCATACAATGCCAGCAACTCCAATCCTATATCCCTGGTTACCAACGGACAACCCTTATGCACCCGAACTTCAAGGGGACCCCTTACCGGATGCTTCACACAACAGCCCTTCTTTTTTCAAGTAATGACATAACCAAGTTCAACAAGATACCCAGCTGGAACAATTACCTGACATGGACCTTCGGTCAGCAGGGTGCCTTGGTCGTTAATACGAAGCTGAGTGGTACCCGAGGCTAGGTCTACATTGATAACCCTCGAATCTTGAAGTTCCTCAACCGATATCGCAGGCCTAAGCCCATTAGTTGCACCGGAGTCAATAAGCGCAAACCGATCGTCCGAAGGAGAAGCCACAGCACTCAACAACCAAGACCGATCTATGCCATACTTGTCAAGTTCCGAACTCCTCAACTTCAGGCCCTTAACAGCGGTACCCTTATTCAGGAGTTTAGCAGCTTCAGCCAACAAAGCATCACGATCAGCAGGCGGAGCCGACGAAGCATTCACTCCTGTAGGATTCCCTCCCGAAGAAGCTGCCGGTTCTCTAGCATCCTCAGTAATCCCTTTCGCCTGAGCACCTGCCTTAGCCTTTGCTTTAGGCTCACCCTTCCTCGGCTGGTTAGGACTAGCTTTCGGCGAGGCCCCTTCGGAGGAATCCCCAGGTACAACTTGCCTGTTCTCAGGCGCAACCAATGTGCACTCTGGTCTATAATGCCCTTTCTGGCCGCAAGCTAGACAACGACCCTGCTTCCTAGCGGTACCACGATCATGACGAAAATGACACGCATCCCCGAACCTACACCCTGTGGCGTCAGAGAACTTGGTGCACAATTGCACTCCCCCGCTTCCTTCACCCTTACCCTTACCTTTCCCTTTGCCATCCCCTTCCCCAATCCTTGCCACAGAGGCCCCTGCCGGAGGAGGCGGCGGAACGGGTGGAACAGTAGGTGACTTAGCGTTAGGAGTCTCTAGCCTGGCCGCCGCAGCAGCTGCTGCTTTGGCCTTTTTATCGGGTGTAGCTTCAACCGTCATAGCCATAGATTCACATTCAGCTTGTATGAGTCGTACAAGTTGAATGACTCCAGAGACAGACGGGTTATAATCGATTGAACTCTTATGTCTGAACGCGCTTATCCTGAATGCCACCATTGGCTGAAGGTTAAGCAGCGAACTCGTAGCAGCGTCAACCCCCTTTAACAACAAGCTAGGGTCCGGCAAAGTCGCCTGCACTTCCCTTGCTCTAATGAGGTCTTGTTGCCATCTTCTTAGACAGACGATTGCTTCCTTGTATGTACGGCAAGACTCTGGTTGTACTAATCTAGAGAGGAGAAACCCACGTTCCATCGAACCTCCAGGTTGATACACACAGAGAATCCGGTAAAGAATGGAGGCACTTGACATCCATCTGTTAGTAATCAACTCTTCCTTGAAGCTAGCCGGCACACACGACAACAACAAGGACACAGCCCGAGATTCCACTCTCTGGTATTTGTACGCGTCATAATTCGCAACGACTGTAGAAGGATCAAGCGCCAGTCTCTCAAGGGGATCTGCAACCAACCAGCGTTGATAGCTAGCATTAGCAGCACCCTCAACCGACTCAAACCATACAGAAGCCGATGCAGACAACCCCGCAAAGACCTGACGAGTCTGCGCGAGCCAGTTACCGCAAGTAACAGCGCTTGTCGTTAAGTCAACCGCAGCAAGCTTAGGAAGATCAATGATGTACTTCGCAGGTTCTTCTGGGGCCCCACTTACATGACTCTGCCCAGCACCGCTATTACTGGACCCAGAAATACCAAACTGACCTGCACTGGAACCTGACCTGAACTTACAGGTACTTGCCCCTGTCCCGAACACCCAGCTAGAGCACTAAGGCTATCACCCAAGCCACCAACCCCTGATCCTCCACACGCTTGCGCACTCCCAACCAGCGACTGCCCTTGATAACCTCCAGCAACTTGTCCCACTCGAGGTGAGATCGGGGGCGGGCCCGGCGGTGGTCTGATGACTGTACCCCCAGGAGAAACCGGATACCCACTAGCATCAAACCCCGCTGCTTCTCCCTTAACACCCGACCTCGGAGTCAAGAACCCAGATCCTGAAGGATTATCCCCATTCACACCCGAATCCTGAATCGACTGCCGGAATTGCCTAAACGATTGAGCTCTCGGCACCTCACCAAACTCCTGATCTATAGCCCTGAAACTCGGAAGAGGGGGCGGAGGAATAGCCCTTAGACCCGTAGTAGGATTTGCTACGAACCCACAACTTGCCCCATGATCCACATACTCAGATCGCCCGGTTGGAGGCATCAGCCCAAACGGTTGAGACCAGGACCCTCTAGCCAACGTACCCTGTAGCTCACCGAACAACCGTGGATCACCATTCCTGGCAAACTCCTCTATCAGCTGTACACTTTCAACACCAGCAGGAGCCGATCCGATCAGCAGACTCGACCGAGGATCAAAGGAAGCCGGCGAAGCAACAGGAGCCTCATGAGTATTCCTAGTCGCCCCACTATGCCAACTAGACCTCTCTACTTGATCCAGCCTACCACGCAACAACCGATTCTCCTCAATTACCTGCAATAGCAAAGACTCCATCCTATTCGGACTACCCGTTGCGTCAGGCACAAGCTCTCGTTGATCATCAGGAGTTGGCCGCTCTGAAGAGCTCAGAACACCTCGATCACCATCATCTGCAGAAGTAGATGCCATTTCCCGAGCGCGGCCCCTCATTGAGCCAAAGTCTTCCGGATTAGACTGAGGCTCTGGAGAACCCCTGGAGGTACCACCTTCTCCCGCAGTCACTGATCCAGTGTCCTTTTGACCAGTCACAGGTCCTTCCGTGTACTCTAATCTCGCAACTCTAGGAAGTCCCGGCTGAGCTTCCCATCCATAATCAGGTTCATCCTTCCGTCCAGATAAATTTCGATCCCCTAGAGCGGATTCGCTCACATCCAACATCCGCCTTGCATCATCATCCAAAGTATGTGGCCTGCTTCTAGCCAGCGCCACTTCGGCTTGAACGCGATCCGAATGAAAAGGATGTGCCGTGGGCATTGGCTGCGTCGCCCCTGCAGTAGGCGCCACAGCTGCTGTGCCCTGTTCTAAAGTGCCAGGCGAGGATTCGCCTGCCGCGATGATTCCAGACGACCCACTGCCGCCAGCGTTCCCTTGACTCAAGGCTGCCTCGTATTCTTGATCCGCAGTCGGCCTACCCCAATCCGGGTCGCCTTGTGCAGAAGGTCTTCTTTGACGAAACATAGGATCCATGGCTCAGCACAAGACGCACCTACACTAGGCTAGTTCCGAATGCTTGCCAGTCGATCTAAAGCCCTTACAGAGCTAAGGCTACGGCTGATAACCTACGTGAAGATAAGCAATCTTTCAATGAAGTGGATAGACAAATGTTCTATGTCAGGGCCGAATCACAAGAATTAAACCCCACAACTATGGTTTTGGTTTTAGGACCAGTGATTAGACCCCTGAACACGGACGGCCTCCACCAGTTTTTTCGAGCAAAAGACAGCCTGCATGTCCACAGAGGTTCTCGTGTCTTCCTGTGCGCAGGGCTCGCTGATCAGACTCACGCACTTAGGGCTTGGGAAGTTCGGTTTTGGGGTTCGTTAGGATCTAAGGTCTATAGAGTTAGGGCTTATAATCGATCATGAGGTTTTGCGGTTTATGGCCTGAGACTTAGGCTCTGAGGGGTTCTAACGCAATTAATGTAGGGTTTAAAGTTTAAGATCTAGGGTCTAGCATTAGGGTTGAGGTTTAAGGGGTTAGGGCGTGAAATTTTGCCCCTATGGTTCAGGGTTTAAGGATTATAAGATTTATGTACAGTTCGGTGTTTGAGGTGCAAGGCCATGATATCCGAAGCATCCAGGTAGACGCACCAGAATTGAGAGACTGTTGAGCAAAAGCCACAAGACGCATGGTAGCTACTTTCATGATGGTAGAAAACCTTGAAGACTTCATTCCTGACTCAGAGAACTGCCCTTATAGCACCCCTATAAAACCTATATAGACCCCTTTAAGGAACCCGCTATTCAGCGGCTGGGGCTTGGTTGGTGTTTGGTGTTTGAAGGTTTCGGGCTTTGGTTTTAGTGTTAACGGGTCTCGGCTCGAGAATGCATTTGGCAGGGTCATCCCTGGGAGTTGATGTGAGGGTCTGAACAATAACTAACTTTCTTCCCTTGTAATTTGTCCTTGGCCCTATTTGCTTTAGTCCCGTTTTCCTCAAAAGTGCTAAACTGTAGCTTCAAAGCCACCACATCCATCAACACTTTTATTGAAACGGTATGATGCCGGACAGAACGGTACAGACAACCCCCTGTAGATCCTCATACAAGCAAATTCGCCATACCCTAAACCCCAAATGGGTGGTTGTCAAAATTATGGTCCCTTTTTGAGTCCTTATCATAGTACGGCACCTATATTTAGGGTACCCCAAAAGGGACCATCATTTTTGACAACCACCCAAATGAGGAGCAACCTCAGAAGTGCTTGTCGGGGACAGGTGAAAATCACCGAGCGGGTGGCTACCAAGACCCACGAGGCCCAATGAAATTGGTTTGTTTAACTTTAGGGGCAAAATGTTTATATAAGTGGGTGTGATAATTAGAGCGTTTAGGATTGCATGGGTGTTCGTGGTGTGTGTTTATAATGTTTTCCTTTAAGTGCCTCTCATAGGGATCGGGGTTTTAAAGGGCTTGACATGGGGCCGGGGGATGCTCAAAATGGGGCCTATTAGGGCTGCCGAGTTCAGTGGTCTTCTTTGACTACCTTAACCTACCAGAACCTCCTTTTTGTAGGGTTCCTATAAATCCCATATTAAAATTTTTAAGAAGAACCTACAAAAAAGTAGGGCTTAGTGGGTCTAGGTAAGTGTAGGGACCCAAAAAGCACGCAAACATAAGCATGTTTTAGGGATATTCCTACCTTATTGGGCTTCATTTTAAGGGGGATTATAAGTATCCTCAAGTTTGGATTCTACGCTCGGGTCTCTCGTTTGGAGAAACTCGAAAGCCCGCACACCTTCAAGTTTCAGGGTTGAGAGCTGATTGTTGACCTGACAAGTTTTTCATGAAAGAAACTAGGAGACCCTGATCTACCACCCTACCTAATCCTTATTGTAAGGATCCCAAATTAAAGTACCCCTAATTTTCTGAAAAAGCCCTGCATCTCAAAGCCCCTCTTCAAGCAGCTGCTTGCGTCGGTGCATTGCTACCGTGGCTGGCCATGGTTAGTCGAGAGCCTTGTGGTGCTTGTATTGGGTACGGCGCCCACTGAGTAAAAGTTGAATAATATTCATAATATAGATATATTAGGACCTTAATAGTAGACCTATTATAGACTCTTACTGTATGGAGGCAGTACCTAATGCTTGTACCGCAACGGTGTTCCCAGTCACGGATTCGTAAGCATCAAACTGTTCGGGATTATTGACATATTGCAAGTCGCCGCGAGAAATATCTCGATCGTATAGACCGTACAGGTGTTTTCCTTTAAGGTGATATTTTGCCACATTGCTTGTCAATACGAGTTTTGGGCTCCCATAGAGTGTTGCATGTTGTGCCCGCTAAGCTTTACAGTAGAAGCCCAGAAGTTGGAAACCCAACAGCCTCAATCCTTAAGATTGCTGTATTGTTTCATCTATTTTAAGCTCCAGGCACGCAAGCAACGGCTACGGGGTCATCTTTATGGTGTATCTTCCACTGTGTAAACTAGACTAACATAGGGGCCAAAATAATTACCTACACTATTCTGGGAGTCCTTTAAAGGGGACTATAAGGGTTACTGTGAGGGTCTACACGGGTATTATATTGTAGGTGCTTACATAATTGCTTATACCATTTTTGGTGGTTCGTTATTAGAATTGCAGTATAATGGGCCCCAAAACCCGTTCTAATTATTAAAGCCCTTATATTACCTGATCCCAAAGGAAGCAGAAAAGGTTGAGGGTAAAGATTGCAGAGAAACGTGGGCCTCCAACTGGCTGCCGGGTCCAGATTGCAGAGGTTTAGTATTGGTCCAGGGTCGTGTGTTTTCGCAAAAAGAATACAGGTTTAGGGGGTAGCGTTTCGTTCAGGGGTCAGGGAGGAGGGTTTAGGGCTTGCGCGGTCTGGGTTTTACTTCAGGATTTAGGATTTGGAGCTAGGGGTGCAGATGAGAGTCCGTGAGGCCATTGCGGACAAGGTTGGCGGTGGCAGCAAAGGGCGGGCACGGCCTGGTTTCCAGTTCTGCCATCTCAGCCTTTCAAACCAAACTCTACCACCGGGGCCTAGAATTTGAATTGGGCTTTGGGGGTGCTATGTACAACAATGCTATTCGGGGCTATAAGGGGATCGCATTGCTGATTATCCCGACCTCTAGATTCAGCCCGATGCCTGCCTTGTGGGCAGTCTGACAGTGAGTTTGGAGATTTGCTGTCTCGGTCTGGCTTCGAGTGACTTCGGTGTAAATTTGGGTCACTCGATGGTGGGTCTCGCTGCTTGAGGGCTTATTGTGCCTAGTGGTCCGAGTTTACTGCAATGCGGGTCACGATTCGCAGGCTGCATTCGCCTACCAAGACACTTTGGGGCTCATAAGCCGTTTGTAGAGCCAGTCATGGACTATGGGGGAGTTCTGGCAGCAATCTCGGTATTCTTTGCAAGGCGAGAAGCTCAACCCACAACTCGAAAGCCTAAGCCCTCATCCAGAGCTCGAGTGGCTGTATGGGATGGGCTCCTCTGCCAGATTGGCCTATGATCTAAACCAAATTATAATTAGTCGCACTCGCTTGAATACTACTCTAGACTGACGACGATCCTGCCTCCTTATCAAGCCAAGTAACTCTAAACTTCCGACCTTAAGCCCTGAACCATAGACTTACCCACTAGAAGCGGGCAGCGGTTTAGCTTCAGAAAATCAGGGGCCCTGGTATGGAACTCTACATGCGAGGATAATTCATTCGAAGGCATCCCTGACCTTAAACCCTAACCCTGAAACCCTAAACCGTAAACCCCGAAACCCTTGATCGTCCGCCTACCTCCTCCCTCCCCAAGGTCCCCAGATGAGGTCCGTAAGGGGGCAAAGGCTTAGATGTACTAAGGTTTCACGGTTTATTTACTATGTACAGTATAGTAGAATCTAGTTTTATACAATATAATATTGGGGTTGGAATGATTCATGATAGCATCCCTGTACAGTCCCTTTCTCTATCCCGAGAGACTGACAGTGCCCCAAGACTTTTTTGTAACCAATTAGGCTCCTACGTGTGCGTGGGGACTGTATAGCACCCGCTGCTAGAGACTGCAGATACCACATCATCAAAGAGCACACTTTAATTTATGAGACGGGTCCGACGGGTCCCTTTCTAAGTTCAGTGTTACTGCTTACTTAGGAACTTAGGGAAATTGGAGGTCTCGGTTTCAAGGTTTAGGGGTTCAGGATGCAGGGTTTTCGACATTTTTATCGCGTTTAGTCTTGGGGTTCAGGATGCCCCCTTCGGGGTTTAAGATTTGGAGCTTAATGTTGGATTGATATCAATAACCCCCCCCCCTGTGGTTGTTTTGCGCGGGGGTCTCTTGGGGCAGGGTCTGGGGTCAGGGTCGCAATAGTAAACCTCTGGCCTGCTCCGGGCCTAGTATACTAGTAGTAATTGTAGTAGTAATGGTAGTCATAGTGTGCCGATCTGCACTCTGCTGGCTGGGTTTAGGGTCCTCTTTGTTTGAGTCTCTGGTAAATACGTAGCCTCGTCTGTAGAATTTTGGGGATTTCGGAGCCCGAATATTTTAATTATCACCCCGTTTATTATTGCGACTGAAAAATTATGATCAGTTGTTCGGCCAAATCTGCCCTCGCCTTCAAACTCCTCTTGCGCCCGGAAATTCTGGCCCGGGGAATATTTTAATTGTCACCCGGTTTAATAAATTCAATTCAACATTAGGGTCTAGGGCTGAGGGTCCCGAAGAAAATCCCCCGGACCACATTAAAGCAGTAGGCCTTTGTGGGATGTCTTTCAGCCTCCGCTGGACATGTCAGATAGGAAGTACTCGGTTAACGGAAGCGCTGCGGAGCTCCTTTGTGAACGAGTCCGAGCACAGGATTGGTCTTGACAAAGCCTTGGCTACCTCATGTGCCGAATCCGGTTCATCATATCTTAAGCACACTTCCTCATGTGCCGAATCCGTTTAATCATATATCTTAAACACGCCCCTGACTTGGCGGTTTCGATTCATCATTAATCTTGAACACGCCGTCTCCTTTGGCCATACATATCTTGAGCACAC